TTTCTTTCTCTACAACATCTTTATGTGAAATGACAGCAGCAAAATCCAAGGTTGAGGCCTGTGTCAAAGATATTGATTTATGGATGATTAAAAACAAGCTTAAACTTAACGGTGATAAAACTGAACTAGTGGTACTTTCAGCTGCACATCGCCCTTTCTCATCAGAAGTGTCACTTAATATTCTTGGCTTTGACATTTTATCATCTTCTTCTGCACGAAATATTGGGGTAATTTTTGACAAAAAACTTTCGTTAGAATGCCATATAACAGCAGTATGTAAATCATGCTTTTTCCACATTCACAATATTTGGAAAATACGCAAATGGCTCAGTGTCAGTGCGTGTGAAACACTTGTGCATGCTTTTATCTCCTCTAAATTAGATTTCTGTAATTCTTTGCTCTATGGTCTTCCAAAGTCCTCTATAAGCAAGCTACAACGCGTGCAGAATGCGGCAGCAAGATTAATTTCTTTTACCCGCAAATGCGACCACATCTCGCCTATTCTTTACAACTTACATTGGTTGCCTGTAGAGCAACGCATTGATTACAAAATTCTTTTAATTACCTTTAAGATTCTTAATGGAACTTCTCCTTCTTATCTTTCTAATCTTATCGAGCCTTATAAACCCTCACGTTTTTTAAGATCTTCATCGGCCAACTTGTTGTTTAAACCATCTTTTAAACTTAAATTTTATGGCAGAAGATCTTTTTCTTTTGCAGCTCCTGAGCTATGGAACTCTATCCCTGAGAACGTCCGTGGAGCCAAATCAATTTGTATTTTTAAAAAGGAAATKAAAACTTGGCTTTTTAAGAAAGCCTTTTCACTTAAATAGTTCTGTATTTTTAGTGTTAAATAATTATTATTGTATTAGTGTTTTATGCAAAATATAAAAAAAAGTATGTGATTTTGAAATTTTATTTTACAAATAAACATTTATTATCTTTTTTCATATTTKTATAACTATTTTTATAAATTTTGTAAAGCGCATCAGAACTTCATTGATATTTTGCGCTATATAAATACTATTATTATTATTATTATTATTATTATTATTATTATTATTATTATTATTATTATTATTATTATTATTATTACTAAACTCATTAACAGACCTTTCATTATAATATTTGGATACAAAAACATTTATTGTATATATTTTAATACCTTCTAGTAAAGCTTTTCAAAAGTCAGTGTTCTTAACTACTCCACCGTCGCTGATTTTTCCCTGGCAGCGTACATCCACGAAAGTAAATTTATAGTCGGCATCTCCTATTGCCATTAGCACAATACTGTAAAATCCCTTGTAATTATAAAACAACGAGCCTCTGTGTGCTGGGTGGAGTATTCTGATGTGCTTGCCATCAATGGCACCAAGACWGTGTGGAAATTGCCATCTGTCACTAAACGAGTTGCTAATTTGCATTTGGATCGTATACGACAGTCGTGCGCGTGTGAATGGTACCTACGACCTGTTGTAGAGAAATCGTATACTACAAGTCGTAGGCAAAATCGTGTCGTGTAAAGGGGCCTTAAGACATCCTCTGTTACTTTGCGTTACTCGCTTCCACCGTGTGAGAACGGAATAACTGTCCCATACAGTTCAAAGTGGCTAATTACTTTTCTAACGGCTCGAGAAGATAACATTAAATCACTGGATATTCGTTTTTTGGAAAAACCATTGTTATACAATGTTACAATCTCCTCTCTAAAAGCATTGGAAAGGGGTTTTCCCGGATCGTAAAACCTTCCTTTTTGGTTCCTGTCAGCCATGTTGAAAAACAACAGATTTCATGGATGGGTTTCCTGTGTACCTTTTCTATGTATGGAGTATCCTTTGTTTCATTAATCCAATCAACAATTGAATAATGGTTTGTAACGGGTTTGAATGAATACCGGTCATCTCACCCCATTGCCATCTCGCCCCCACCATCTTGCCCCCACTATTCCATCTCGCCCCCACCATCTCGCCCCTACTTTGCCATCTCGCCCCAATATTATATTTACGAAGATAACTGTTGAAATTCACATAATAATAAGAATTTCGGCTGTCAATTGTGTATAAGTTTCGACGCAACTTGGACGTGAGCGGTCACGATTATGCCTGACTACGACCAACGATAATAATTCACTTTTGATATTCGATTCAATTTTTCTTGAGTTGTTTGCAGTGAAACTCTAAAAGAAATCACCATGTACGCGTATTTGAAGTTAATTTACAAGTATGTCAAGTATTTCTATCAATTCAGATAATCAAATGAACATGATGTCAGTCGTGATGACACAACGTAGTAAGACCAATAAGCCGCCATTTTCAAATTTCTTCGATAAGCCACTCGATGATGTCCCGCTCGATCGGACTCTCGATACGAATAAAGTAACACAACATGCATTTTAAACTTTTATCGCAATGAAGATGTTTGCTTCTTTTCTGGATTTCCATATAGCTCATGACCGGTTACACTCAATATAGACAGTGACTGGTTTACCAGTCATTTGTTTGTTGCACGTGTATTGGTTGTTATGACTATTGTGCTAATGTCGCTTATGTCAACAAACTTTCCACTCTTCGTAAGTTTGAAGCAGGCTGTATTTAAAGAAACTTGAAAATGTATTTCAATCATATCAAAAAATAAATCGAACTAAAATGGTTATGTTTTGTGACACGTTGCGCTGTTGAGCTGTCTGGTGTCTGGTACGATACACCTATAAGCATTCATTCGTAAATAACACTAACGAATTTATGCTTTCGTATTCTTATTTTGCCAATTTCTAGATATAAATATAAGACTTACTACTGTAACGGAATATGGGAAAACATAACAGTAAAAAGTCCTTCTTTATACACCATTATGTTTATTGTTGGTTGTTATGATAATTATGCTAATTTCCGTAAAGCATAGTTACTATGTTTAAAGTGACAATGGCAAAGCGCATATTTAACATATAGGTCATTCAAGGATTGAAATTAAATCTTTACTATATTCTTTCAAGTACTGAAAGAAAATACTGGTTTATATTGTCTAACAGATTTTGAATGAGCAATTCCATTACACATTTTCATGTGATATGTTGGATGTTGATTGTTATGACAACTATGTTAACATGAATATATATTTACAAGATAGACTAAAGTCTTAAGTATTTATTAAATGCTTTACAAAAATCAATGAAATGTTTGAAATGAATAAGTGAATAAAAAAAAATTCGTAATACAATAATTACATATCAATAACACGATTTATGAGTCTGTTAATGATGTATACTACGTGAAATGGTTTAGAGACCAGACTGAACAGACTGATTGGAGAGCTTGTTAGTTTACTAACATTCTCGATCACAACTAAAGCTCGATTAAAAAGTCTGCGTATTAGCTGCATGGTATAATCCTTCGATTGAACGACAACAACAACACCAGTTGCCGCTTGAATAAACAAGCAAGTGTATTCAAGACTTGTTCCTGATATGTAATAAATCACATCGCGCTAGAATCACATAAATAACATCTGAAATGTGAACTAACGGATATATAATATTGGGACAAGATGGTGGGGCGAGATGGCAAAGTAGGGGCGAGATGTTGGGGGCAAGATGGAATAGTGGGGGCGAGATGGTGGGGGCGAGATGGTGGGGGCGAGATGGCAATGGGGCAAGATGACCGGTAACGGGTTTGAATATTAGTCGACATATTTTCAAACGAAATGCATTATTGAAAACGATTAAATGACACAATTTTCAAATAATCAAACTATTAATGGACTTTTGTGGGGTACGCTTCACAGTGATCGGGAAACCCCCGCGCCATGCGCCATAGTCGCATTTTTATGGAAAATGGCACATTTATTTGAAATTCTCTGCGCCATTGGGCCCATCTGTGTTTTTGTAAGGCAYAACAATTTACGTTAAGCTGCAAATATTGTAAAACAAGATCGTTGTCATAACATTTCGATTGCCATCTTGTTTTCCTGTCGAAGAGGGGAACTAGGGCTAAGCTAATAAGAGAAGAGCTCCCATTGGCTATACGTTAGACAATAAGAATTGTGATTATAAAACGAATTGCACACATGGTCACGCACGAGCTCAATTTCAAGGCTAAGCGATTTTTAACAATGCCACCAAAGAAAAGGATTAAAATAGCAGGTCAAAGGACAATTTCTTCTTTGTTTGTAACATCAACGTCTGTTGGAGATGACAATACAGCTAGAGATGACAATACAGCTAAAGATGCTTCAAAAGACGGTGATTCCATGACTGAGAAGTCGACTGACACAACTGACAACAAATCGAAAAGTGAGTTCCAATGTTTTCAACAAAAGTGGTTGAAACTCTGGCAGTGGCTTAAATACGAAGAACAAATGTTCTGCACGGAATGCTTAAAAAATGGAAGAATTAACTCATTTACAACTGGTTGACAGACATTTAAGACTTCATCCATACTTGTATTTATGATTTAGAATAAAAACGAAAGAGCTTGTTGTACAAAATGGAAATCTTTTGTTTCAACTTCCAAAAAGATAGTATTTTATAAAGAGTAAATCATGATGTCTAAAAATTATATTTATGAATATTCATGCTGTATTAAAAAATATGGCCCATGATAACATGGTCTTGGCCCTTTACAAAACAAAATGGTCCATTATCATTGAATCTTTGGGGCCATGGTCACATTGCTACAATTTTAAACCTTATCACTGGCTTCACCTGGTTTGACTGATAAAATGGTCTTGACCCTTTACAACAAAAAAATGGCACATTGTCATTGAATCTGTATATTCAAATCAATCATGGAAACCAAATCACTTAAAAAGTCACAAGTCAAGCTGCATTATAACATAGATACTATATTACAAGCAATCTCATTGGTTCTTTATCTATGAACACAAAATGGATGGAGCACGCTCACGCCATCACAAGTGAAAAACATTTTGCTTGTTTTTTTTTCACCCAATAAAAATGGCGGAAAATAATGAAAATAACCTTAATTTCCCAAATTTCAATCTCAATGCCGAACACTTTGAAGAAACGAACCGTTATCCGGACCTTAGTGAGCAAGAATTGCAAGAAATTCTTGCAAATAAGCATTMAGACAAGACTAGAAAGACGACAAATTGGTCGGTATCGACGTTCAAAGGTAAAATTTAATTGCAAAAATGTCTCTACAAAACGGTGTAAATTACTTTATACAATTTTACAATAGTGGGACAAACAACTAAAATATCGATATTATCGAATTTAATGTTTAAAATAATAAATTATTATGCTACGGAAACTCAAAAAAGCCTTATATTTCAAAAACATATGTAAACAAAAGACAAATTGCTACAGMCAATTACAACAATAACAAACATTTACCTTAAATATAAACGGTAATTTAAGCTTTTGTCCTTAAACTCTAATTTCGTAGATTGGTGCAAACATAAGAAAATACAAACTCCACTTGAAAGCATGAATATAGGCCAACTGGACCAGAATTTGAGGCGATTTTAYGCTGAAGCCAGGTCAAAATCCGGGAAGATGTATGGTCGGTCGACGCTTCTGGGTTTTCGTCATTCAATTGAAAGGCATCTAAATCATCCTCCTCACAGTAAAAATCTCAAGATTTCAACCGATCCAAGGTTTACTAGATCAAACCAGATGCTGGATGCACAACTTGTGCACATGAAGAAGGCGGGGAAAGCAAACGTCCAACACAAACCAGTCATCGAAGAAGAGGATCTCGTAAAACTTAGAAGATCGACTGCATTTTCGCTCAACAGTCCCGCATCACTCCTACAAAACGTGTGGTTTCATATCGTCCTTTTTTTCTGTAGACGAGGAAGAGAGGGTCAGAGAAGCTTAACTAAGTCGAGTTTTAAGTTTGAAATTGACGGAGGAGGTCGAAGGTACGTGACGATGGCGCACGATGAGCTCAAAAACCATCAAGGTGGACTCTCTGACACAAGTGAAAGTTCCGAAAAGTATGCCAGAATGTACGAGTCAGAGTCTGTAAACGACGGCTATAAAGCCCTCCATCTCTATATGTCCAAGTTGAACCCAAAATGCGAAGCATTTTTCCAGTATCCCAGAAAAACCTGGCAGCCATGCGATGAAGTGTGGTTTGACGCGAAACCTATCGGTGTCAACAAACTCGACAACATGATGAAAACCATAAGCGAAATGGCAGGTTTATCGAAGCTTTACACCAACCACTCAGTGAGAGCTACCGCAATAACCTTGTGGTCTAATGCAGGTGTTCCCAATCGACACATTATGGCCATATCGGGGCACAGAAATGAGCAGAGTTTGGCACACTACAACACACGACCTTCAACTGCACAGCTACACAACTGCAGCGAAGTCCTCTCTAGAAATCTGGTTTCCAACTCAAATCCCCTTTGCCTTCCGTCGTCTACTGTCACCACTTCAGTTCAGCAAGCCACCAACTTGTCTGTAACCGGAGGAGTTGTCCCCTTGAATGCCTTGCAGTCAGTTTTTAGCAATTGTAATGTTGAAAACGTTCAAGTAGTTTTCCACAACGACAGCGGCCGTCGCTTTGCAAGTTGACTTTGAACAAATTAATGCCTTCGTTTGGCTTAAAAAAA